CGCTGGGCATTAACACTTATTATTTTGTTATTACCAATTTTATATAATCTTTTATCAAATTTAATATCTCAAAGTCAAAATGATACAGGAGTTTTTAAAATGAATTTCAATTCTCTTAATCCACAAACAATTTTATATCATACACATTCAAGTATAAAGAAATATTTTCTTGCATCTGTTAATGGTGCAAAACTTGAACAAGGACCAGGAAATATATATAAAATGAATGAAAATATTTTACGTAAGGTTTAATATTATTCAAATAATAATTATTTTCTTTATTTGTAGAAAAACGAACGGATCGTCCATATACATATACAGACATATATCTTGGTTTTAATATTCCTCCACCAAGTGGAAATACATATAAAATTCAAGCAGTATCATCAAATTTAATATCAGGCTATGAAGTTATATCTGTTGCATCAAATACATTCTATAAACATGCATTAAATGATTCAAATGCATCGATTCAAACAACACTTATTTATAAAAAAAATACAAGAAATTTTACTGAAGAACCATCGATGGGTCAACTATTGGATGTATTAAGTATGGTATCATGTTTTAAAAAAATATTACCAATGACACTTTTACTTGATTTGTATGTAAATTTAAAAACAAAATTTTTATTGAAAAAAATTCTATTTAGATTTGTATTCTATATTTTATTCTTTTACATAACTGTATTTTTAATCAGTGAACGAAAAGATAGCTTTTTATCATTACTAAATATTAGTGGTTTACAGTAAGTATTGAAATATAACTTAATTATTTTACAAAATTTTGTATTTCTAGTCCAGCATCATACTGGTTATTTACTTATCTATTTGATATAATAATATCTGTTGTATGGTTTGGTTATTTGCTTGGAATTTATTGTATATTTGATGTTGCTTTTAATGGTCAATCAAAAACGAAATCTTCATTAGAAAATTTAACTAAATTTCTTAGCGCATGGGATTTACGTGTACATTTTTATCCATTATCAATTTTAATAGCATTACCAACATTACCATTTGCTTATTTATTAACAAAACTTTTCAAAAGTGATATTCTCGTATGTACTTTTTTAATACATTACAATTATAATTCATCACGAGAGAATATTTACCCACATCTCTATCATTCACTTTTTCTGAAAAATTACCTTGATCATCATGAGATATAACTTCATCGTATACCCACTGACGATATTTTGATCTATTTTTTCTCACACCTGTTATCATTATTCTTTGACTGATTTGATCTATGTTTTAGGGTGGTATAACCATATGTTTTATCTTAATAATTCTTCATTTTATAAGTATTATTTTACCGGTTATAACACTACTTATTAAAAGTACATCTGTTCAAAAACTTTTATATTGGCTATTTAATATCATATGTCCAACTATCAACTCACAAGCTATAATAACTTATATCTTAGCACGTAAAAGTCAATTTTGTAAAGCAGCGATTGCAGAGTTTACAGACGACGATCGTGATGACACATCACTTTTTAAACCTATTGGTGATGATACAATTGGTTGGAATATAGTTATTCTTGTTTTACATATCGTTATATTCTTATTCTTATTAATTATTATTGATAGTGGTTTATTACAATTTTCATTTTCATGTTTCTATAAATCAAATTTTAATGAAAATACTCTTGATGGTGATGTTTTAGCTGAACGTCATCGAGTTTTAGGAACGCAAACACATACATTTGAAGGTGAAGAAAATGTTGATCATTTAACAGTTAAAAATCTTGTTAAATATTATTCACGAAGAAAAGTTTTAGCTGTTGATCATTTAACATTTAGTGCAAGACGTGGAGAAGCATTTGGTTTACTTGGTTATAATGTAAATACACAACAATAATAATATATTTCTTTTTTTTCTAATTTTATTTTAAAATAGGGTGCTGGTAAAACAACAACATTTCGTACTGTAGTTAGTGATACAATATCAACACACGGCACAGCTTATATAGATGGACAAAATGTTCGTCGTCGTATAAGATCTACACGTCATTTAGGTTATTGTCCACAACAAGATTGTAGTATGGATTTTCTAACTGTTGAAGATAGTCTTTATCTGTTAGCACGTATACGTGGTGTAAAAACATCACATTTAAAATCAATTGTTGAAACAATGAGTTCATTATTTTTACTTGATCCTTTTCGAAATAATTATATTCATCAATTAAGTGGTGGAACAAAACGTCGATTACATGCTGCTATAGCATTAATTGGTATTGAATTTATTTAAATAAAATTTATTAATTTTGTTTTTTGTAGGACCACCATTAGTAGCTATTCTTGATGAACCAACAACTGGTGTTGATCCAAATGCACGACAACAAATGCAAGAAATATTTTTAAATGCTGTTAAAGCTAAGTTAACTATTATTTTAACAAGTCATTCAATGGATGAATGGTAAACAATATTTAATGAATTATAACTGATATGTTTTTCTTCCTACATTTCTAGCGAACGTGTTTGTAATCGTCTTGGTATAATGGTTCGTGGTCAATTCGCTTGTTTAGGTACAATTCAACATTTAAAATCTAAATTTGGTCGAGGTTATACAATTGAAATTAAAGTGCGTACAACTCCTGCAGATACAAATGCATTAGTAATACCAAATGTTCAAAGATTTTTATTATCACAACAACAATATCAAATTGAAGTTAAAGAAACAACACATTCAACAGGTTTATTTCAATGTGCACAAGGTACGCCAGCTGAATTATTTCAATTACTTGAAGAAAATAAACAACAATTACAAATTGAAACATATACAATATCACAAACAACACTTGAACAGATATTTTTATCATTTGGAAAACAAATTAAAACTAGTACAGATGAATAAATTGAATCATTATTTAAAGAAAACAACAAATTTTATTTTCAAATACTTTGTATATAATTCTTTAAATTTATTCAAATAAAACGAATTCATAATCAGTACAGTTTTGTTACAGTGCGACACGCCCCATGGGACGAGAAGTCTGTGTTAGGTGGTGTCATCATCATTTGTTTCATCTCGTCATATGTATATCTTATCGTTCGTCTGTTGGATTTTTCTCTTTCTGTTCATTGTATTTTTTCTTTCGTTCTTTTTCATGAATTTCTCCTTTTATGTTGTCGTATGTCAATGACATATGACGTATGTGATAGGACCTTTCTTGGAATATTTTCATATTTGTCCCATCCCATGCGAAGCTCTGGTTGGGTTGATTCAACACATTGTATAGCTTTCTCTTTTCGTTTTGTAGTCGTGTGTTAATATTATGCATAATAAGTACATGGTGATTAGCCATTGAAGTGAATTTATGAGATGTTGACTGATATCACTATAGTCAACAAAATATTTAGTGTTGAACCGATTATTAGTTGGTATTCAATGTTTAATCATTAAGTTTAAAATATTGCATATTGAAATGACTTCCGATCTAAATCGTCAGTAGATGAACTTACTTACATGCGTACTCATTAGGAACGATGGTCTAATTTTAAATAATCAATTGATACATTTGCGAAGTTATAAGACATGAATGACTAATAAATATCTGAGAGTATTTCGATTCTCAATGGAAGAAAATGTGGCTACAGAATGAAATACGTGATAATATCAGAGTTTCTTTTTTTTACTATTTATCATTTATTCTTGTTATATCTTTCACAACACCTTTTCGTCGTTGTGCAAGTACATAAATAGACAAGACTTTTTTCTTCCTTATCTTATTCTCTCACAAAAGTATATAAAAGCAAAAATAGTGTAGAAGAACGGCAGTTAACAATCTCTTTCTTTTTCGGTTTTTCATTGCTAATGCTCAAGAGATTTCACGACCACGAATTAGGAGAATCTGCAAGTCGACGTGTTAGTTATCACTGCAAAGTAGATTATGCTAAGTCTTCAAGAGCCACATGCCATGGGTGTGAACAGAACATTGATCAAGGCGAATTACGATTGGCGTTGATGCTACAAGATGATGAAGGTTATAAAAGTACTGCTTGGAATCATTTTGAATGTTTTTGGAAGGACCCTGAGACACGAAAGCTTGAAGGTACTCACGAAATATATGATTTCAACAAGCTAAAGGCTACAGATAGAAAAAAGTGAGTTTAAAAATAATTTTTTATTTACTTCAACTTTGACAACGTGTTCATTATATATTTTTCAGAATATCTCAAGGATTCGACAAGCTTCATTCGACAAGAACGAAGCGTAAAAAAAATGAAACTAGTGACGATGAAGATTATTCACCAAATACTACACAAATCACGCATCCAACAAAGAAAAATAAGATTCTTCTGTCGAAGAAAACAAAAAGCAACCGAAAAGGATAATACAGACGATATTTTAGTTTTGAAATAAAGTCGAAATAACAATCTGAACTATATCATTTATGTTGAACTAGTTTTATTAATGTTTCTGAAGCATTTTGAGAGTCATAAAATATACTAACTAATTGGTTATTGAATCGAAATCGTGTATGGATACCGGTTCAGGTTTACACTTAATGTTATTTATGCCTGTCTATAATGAATATTCTTTTTATTGATTCATGTTAGATAGCATAATCTATCAAATCGCACTAAAATTTCAAAGACTCATAAACTCATATTTATTATATCATCTGTCGAACAATTTCTATAGATAATAGAATAATAAACTCTATAGCATGATTAACAAAAAGCTACGGCGTATTTTTCATATTAGATAATGAAACTTGTAATATTAAACAAAAGTGTCAAAATTATATTTAATACAATATGATAATATCTATTAAATTTTATTTTCTCATTATATTTATAATTAACAATCAAAACACAAATATGAACATTAAACTTGAAATTGTTTATTTAATTATTATATAAAATCTCGTGCATTTGAAACAGAACAGAAGTTTATTAGAAATATAAAATAGTTTATACAAAAAAATAAGAAGTTTGATTTTAATATGTTCTTCAATAAAGAAAAAATAATTTATATTGAATCAGATTTACCTAGGATCTTCACAAAGAAGTCCAGCTAAAGTGATATTTTTGCCACCTATAACAACAGTTGAAGTAAAAGCTGTTGTTCCAAGACTGATTGATCCAACATCATTTTTCGAAAGATCGTCATTTAATTGGCCACTAGCAAATCCACAGAAGCACGTGGTGTTTCGATAACAAAAACCATAACAGAAACCATGTAACTGACCAATCAAAGTTTTATTCAACTGATCCAATGGAGATGGCAAAATTGAGATATTAATTGTATGTGTTTTGTTACAATACAGTTTGCATATGTCTTGTTTATATCCATTTGGATTTTTGCAGTAATCGTTCGGGTCCTCTTCTATTTTAAAATAAATATAAAAATAAAACATTCACAATAATAACAATAAATATTCTACTCACTTGGATAATCATTATTACGTTGTGAAGGTGCAGCAAAACCAGATGGTAGATGTAGAACATACCCAAAAAAACATAACACTAACGCAAATAATATTCTATCCAGACTAACCATTATTCCTACAAGAAATAGATATGTGTATTTTTTTTTTGAAGAATTAATATAAATTGTTTAATACAAATCAATATCATAATGTTGTCTATTTATATAGTATTATTTCACACTTGGTGCTCCTAAATACATTAATAATATCTGTTTTTTTCTTTCGGTGCAAAACAAAGAATATTTAGTCATGATTCATCTTCACATGATATAATCGTACAATAAAATACAGTAGTAATATATAGAGAGAACAAGAAATGATCAATTATTATCACCCTCTGTTATTTTTCGTATAGAAATACAAAAAAAAAGAGTGAATATTGTCTCATTATGTAGCTAAAAATAAGTATGAATCATGTTGAAATGGAACTAATGCGTGAATAAACATCATTTAAAACAAAACAAAACAATCAACTGATATTTTCATTTATTTATCATGAATGAAGTATAATTTATAAATCATTATAAACTGATATCATTCAAATAAAAAAATGTTTCTCAAAATAAAACCTAAAAATAATCAAAATATATATTTTGTTTTTTCTCGGATATTTTTCAATATTTTAATTTTGACTTTAAATGTATTTGTTTGTTAATTAACATAAAAGAATTTTAGTTTCACAATGAGACAATACTTATTCTTTCTTTTGTATTTCCGAAAGAAAAATAAATGATCATAAACATACTTGATCACCTCTTTGACTCTTTCTCTTTCTATCTTATTACTATACTCTATTAAACGATTATATCACATATGAAGAATAGAGAAATAGAGAAATTTTCGAATGAATTTAAATTAAATAATCGATATTTATATTTCAAACAGAGTAATAGTTTTGTTAAAGATAAAAGTATATTTTTGATGAAATGTATTCAAAGCAAGTAGAATATAATTTTTAGTTGTCTATAAGAATCAAATAGAATTAAGTGAGAGAATAAATTAATAATTTTTATAAAAGTATAGAAATGAATTCTATTTGACTGATTAGTATTTATTGAGTAGACGACAAGTTTTTCGAGCTAAAAAATAAATGATTAACTGAAAGAAAGTATTTTTCCCATTGAAAATGCATTTCAAATTATGCACACGTTGATTACCTATCAAATTCTTGAAACTTACATACAAATCAAAGAATATTGAAAAAAAGAAAAATAGTGAATCTTTTTATGATTTTTATCTTGTTAGTTAATATAAAAATGGTAGAAAAAACGGCCTCCAAAACACGATGTAATACTGGAAAATGCTCAGTTTTGTGTAGTCAATGTTTTAGATCTCATCGAGATACATTCAACAGTACTAATATATTGAAATCTTTAATATCGTCTCAATATTTAACAAGGTAGAACTTAAGGAAGTAACAATATTAAATGAATTCTACAAAATTACTATTTATGATAAATATGATGTTTCTTTGAATATTTGTAATAAATGTGACAGTCTAATTCCATTCCACAATTTGCTTTCATAGTCAAATATTGAAAATTAGACAAGTTTATTAATATTGTGAAAGAGCTTATCGTATCTATGAAAGTCAAAGATTTTATATTTGAAAATTTCATATAACAACAACGGTTCATTATAACATTTCGACATCATATTCAATTTGTAATATTATCAAATATAACTTGGAATTTTCTACTTATCGATTTATACAATATAAAATTGTAACATATGATATTATCATGATTTATATCAATATTTCCTTGGAATATATCTGTAACTTTTCATTTCTTCACTTCTCTTTTACGCAAAAGAAGTGTTGCTTGAGACAAATTCAAACAATCATTCCCCAGAAGTGAATATGGTGATATGACTTTGAATGTACATGAAAAGGCAATGAGAAATAAAACAAATCTAAAACTATAAAGAAACAAGCACATACTTGAATGAAAGTGAACAGATCAGAAAAATAACATTATCGACTCAAATAAAAATTACATTTTTATTAAAAGAAAGTTTAGTTGTGTCATTTTATAATTTAAAAGAACATATAACATATTTTCAATAATTAACAAAAACAAAATCTTCGGTTATTTATTTATTTGAATGATGGTTCGAATAAAATTTGTTTATAACTTTTGAATTAGATAAACATAATAATCGACATATCTGTATACGCATTTGTAGGGTATAATTTATTACTAAAATAGATTCAAATACGTCATACATATATGCAAAAAATGTGCGTTTTTGTGATGATTATTGAGTAAATACGAAAAAGAAAAATGCATAGATCAGTCATTCATCCACCTGCGTAATGATAATACGTCATTAAGAAGGGCGTAATATCTTTTCCTACACCCATATTATTACTAGACTATGCTTAAATGTTTATGCTTCATTTAGCAAAATTTATCTATAAAAAGCCCAGAATATACAACGAAATTTTATACACTTACATTTTTTTATTATAGCAAAGATATATAAATCGATAAAATAATGGCTGGTTTTGGTGTAAATGTTTTTGATGCATTTGTCGACAATGCGGCTGATCGTTTTGTAAACGATTTTATACCAGGCAATGGTAGGTTACTCATATTTTAAAACAAAAATAAGAATTTATTTAATTATTTCTAGGTGTTTTTCAAACGGGTGTTGATCAATGGCTTAACAATGATATTAATCGTCATTTAGGTGGAGGTCTTGGATCCACTTATGGATATGGTTATGATAATGGCTTCGGCGGCGGATTCGGTGGCGGCTTCGGTGGTGGTTATGGTGGTGGATGGTAATAAAATTATTGAAAAAAAACATTCTTTTTTTATGTATAAAATAATCTATGAACATTAAAATATTTAAAATAAATAATAATGATGAATAATGTAGATGTACAGTAATTTCATTCATACACTGTGAATATATAATATATTCAGGTGTATCATAGAATGTTTATTACGTTTTTGTAAGTTATTATCGATGCATAGAAGAACAAGGATAAAATATTGTGTAATTTTATCATTGAATGATAAGTTTTTTTTTCAATTCGAATGCAATATTTTGTACTAACATTCACATTATTTCATTTTAATTCTTTGATGAACAGACTATTTAGTTTTTATTACTATGTGATGCTTATTCAACATAAACTAATGACACCTATTGTTCTGATTAATTTATTATTATGAATATGACGTGACAAGTAATAGAATGTTTGTTTTAAATAGTTGGATAAAATACGGAGTATATTATTGTGTTTGTTGCTGTTGTTTTGTGTATAGAAGTATTGCTCGAAGCCATTTACCTAATGTAAAACACAATTGCGATATATTTTTAAGTTCCTTTGGTTGACATTCATATTGATCTAAAATTGAATTGAGTTTTGTTATTTGTTTTTGATTTATATGATCTTTATCCAAATCAAATAAACGTTTTAAAAATTGATTATGACCAACTGCTATTAGTTTTTTGTCATCTGTCCATTCCCATGTTTGTTTCGAAGGTTCGAGTAAAATACCAACACATTCAAATATAGAAAGACAAGCTAGTGGTGGTTTAGCAAATGATTTCACTTGATTAAAATCTGATGATGATAATTCACGTAAAGATTCTTCAGCCTCTAATAAAGAACTTCTTTTTGGATATAAATAAAATATAAAAAATAATTACCGGTTAGAGAAGCAAGAGCTGAACTTAAGTTTGTTGCTTGCGACGCCATGTATGTATTTATAAAATAAAAGAAATAAATTATAACAATTTAGAGTATAGAATAAAGAAAAGAAAAGAAAAAGAGTCTCCCGACGTCGTTAATAATTTACGATTGAGTTTCATAAATTGTCAGAAAGAAAAAAAATAATATACTTAAAATAATTGTTTATACAAAGAGTTTTATTTAGATGATTTATACAATAAAGAAGAACGATTATGTATTTGCTCATTATTTATTTTCATAATTAAATCATAGAAACCAAAACATACTATTATTTTTTTCAATAACAATATCAATTAGATAAGATTCGATTTTTACTAATAAGTTAATATTTACTCATTCATTAATTGTTTTAATCAAAATAATTTTTCATTAAATAAATATATTCATTATACAATCAAAGAATTATTTTCTAGATTGAAATAATGAAATTTTTTTTGCTTTCTCATATCTATTTACAACAAAATGTGATGAATGTATCAGAAATGATTTTTTTATTTTGACCTACTTAAATCTATTTATAGAATATAAATTTTTTTTCGTAATCATTTTTATGTATAAAAAACTAATAATGATAATTATATCAAATAATTTTTATCTGATACTATTCAACGTTTCATTGTTTTTCTTAGTCCGAAGTTATATACATAATGTGTCATCTGCTCTGTCACTGTTACTATTTAATCATTTATTACATAGTGCAATGCTTCTTATTTAAAATATCAAAAGTGAAAGTTTTAAGTTTCTTTGCTGCCCTATAATTCCCTTCTTTTGATTGTTGCTACTGGGGATGTCAAGTAATCCGACAAAAATAAAATCTGGAAAATTTTACTCGAAGTTTATTGATAATAGAAGACATAGCAAGTAAAAGGTGTAGAAATACTACAGACAATCTGATGAACTTATTTCTTTGAAGCCACTATAAGTGAGAATCCTTCGAGAAGTTCGGCACGATCGATATCATTGCTGTAACTGTGAGTGTTCAGAGTGTGGATGTGGGTGTGGATGTATGGGTACGCACTACTCTTCTTCCACACCAACATCCTCATCCACACCTTACTTGATTGGTTTTGAAGCAGTGAGTTTGCGCTTTGCATGACTTGATGATTATTGACTCGCATTAAGTTTTAAATTCTCAAATAGTATATCAACGTGTCAACACCGTACAAGACTTTCAAGAAATGATAGTATAATCATATGACTTCCGTTTTCCTCTAAGTTTGTGTGGGTGCAAAGATGTAAAGAAGAACAACAGATGTCTACATCACACTCTCAAGATGATTTTTTTTTAATTAAAATTCTAAATATTTTATTTCTATTTATCAATGAATAACAAATGCTTGTTTAAAAAGTAATCGAAATTTCATTATAAAATTATTCCTTTAATATTTTTTGCATTTCTTCAGCTAATTTGAATTTTGTTACTTTGCCTAATGCAGTTCGCGGAAATTTATCAATAAAACGAATATGTTCTGGTATTTTATAGTCTGTTAATTTATCAGCAAGAAATTGTTTGAGTTCATCAACTTCACAATGCATACCATTATTTAATTTAACAAATGCACATATTATTTCACCAAGTCGAGGATCAGGAATTGAAAAGACTTGTGCTTCATTGATACTCTCATGATCTTCAATAGCATGTTCAATTTCAGTTGGAGAGATATTTCGTCCAGTTCCAGTTATAATTATATGTTTTTTCCTTCCAACAAAAAATAAATAACCATCTTCATCCATTGTTGCTAAATCTCCTGTTTTTAACCATCCAGCATTAGTAATTGTTTCTGCTGTTGTTTCAGGATCATTATAATAACCGCTCATTATTGAATAGCCTCGTGCCCATATTTCACCTTGAGAACCAATGGGAACAATTTGACCATTATCATCAACTAATTTCAATTCAATATGTGGCATACATTGACCAATGGATGTATGCCGTCGTTTGTCTTCGCAATGAAGAGAAATCGTTAGAAGACATCCGCTTTCTGATAATCCATACGCTTGTCCTACTCGATCAACACCAAATTCTGTTTCTATTTTACGCAAAAGCTTTGCCGGAACAGATATACCGCCTATTCCAACATATTTCAATGAATTGAAATCGTAGTTTGATCGTTGTGAATCAGCTAACATATCACGAAATACAATAGGTGAAACAATCATGCTTGTACATTTTTCTTCATCAATTGCTTGCATGACTGATGTAACATTGTATGTTAAACTTGGAATAGTTACAGTACATTTATTGACTGCCATTATTAATATTGTCCAAATACCTGTACTAATATGAAACATAACTTGTGCTCCACATGGATTTGAAAATGTTGATCCAAAATAATCCAAGTGAGAAAGTATAGTATTAAGTACGCCAAAGTTTGTCAACGTGACTGGTTTAGGTTCATCTGTTGAGCCTGATGTCATAATAATAGCTAACGGTGAATCAGGATCAATTGATTCTTGATCTTTATATAAAATCTCTTCTTGTTCTTTTGTCTTTTTATTTTCACCTTTCTTCATCAAATCATTGTATGAATGAGCATTTGATATATTTGATCCTGTTAAAATGATATGTTTCAAACTAGGTATACTTGAAGATGATTCTTGATTGAAATCAGGTATTGCTTCTCGTAATGTTTCAGTTGTAGTATCATTCGAAACCATAACAATACCTTGACATTCGAGTTTAGTTAAAGTAGAAGTTATTTCACATGCCACAGCATCTGGATTAACATGAACCTAAAACAAATGATGATTTATGATTAATTTAATTTTGAGTAAATATACCTTGATTAAACCAAGTTTAGAAGCGACATGTGTAAGAACAGCACTTTCTGAACAATTAGGTAAAGCAACAAGAAGACGATCATTCTTTTTAAAACCAAGTTCAAGAAGTGCAAGTGACATACAATCAATTTCATATTTTAATGATGCATAAGTGTATTTTTTTTCTTCTTCTAAATATAAAATTTTTTACAAAAAAAAAATAAAATTTTCGTATACCTTTGAATATGTAACATTCATAATCAGGATATTTTTCGGCGAGTTTATCAAAACTCTGAGCTATAGTACCGTAAACCAAAGGACGTGAAGAGGCATTGTGTACATAACTCACTGTCAGTTTTTTTGGTAAACAAGCACTTTCGACCCTATTTGATATATCATATACTGACTTTTTTACCTTTTTTGCTGAGAAAAATCGAAAAAAAATTTTGAAACTGGGTGCGACCGCACTTCCCCTTAATCCGCCACTGATCATTTGAGAACTCTATGTTATTGATTTATTGCTGTTCGTAAAATGTATACTGTCAGAAATGAAACAAAAAACAAAAGTGAAACGAAAAGATAAAATAACTAAATAAATATTATCGCTCCTTTTTACTCTATATTCTTCTTTTCTCATCGAAAAAGAACCCTCGTTCTCTTCACAATATTCACTCTTTAAATATTTGACGATATCAGTAGCACGTGAGACAATGAAGAAAAATCTTGAGGATGTGGGTGAGTGTGAGGAGCATATGGATGCCTTTCATGAATCAGATACATATACACACTAACCCACCCTCAAAAAATGTGAATATCGGCACAAAAAGGAAAAGAGGCAGACCATCTAAAGCAAAAAAAGCTTTATTACTATAATAGTACATTAATTGCTCATTTCACTTTTTCATAGGATCCATTGTAGAAATAAAAACTAGAATTTTTCCTTTTATCGCTCGAAGATTATTGTTCATATGTATTTTAATTAATGCTCATTCAGATATTTTTATTGCTCAAATAAATACTAGCCATATTCAAAATCATAACGTTACAATATTCTTTTTCACTTCTAATGTACTATTCCATCTGAGAAAGATCCATTAGACATAAAAGAACGAGTAAAACTAGATTAATATTAAAATATCGATATAGAAGAAAAATATAAAGAAGACAATTCCATTTATGGGAATATGGAAATACACTATGCATTAAGAAACGAAAAGTATAAGCTAACAATATACTAATGTAGAAAGAACGAAATAAGCTTATGACAATCACGTGTATATAAGAAGATAAAATTTATTCATAGGTGAAGAAAACATGATTATTTATCTACAAATAGAAAGGGAAAGAAAACTATAGACTCTGTAACCCTAGATTGTTACAATGTATGCGTTATCTTTGTTATTATTAATCGCAAAAAAACAATAATGAACGACTGCCCATGTAAAAAAACAAGAAAGACATCACATTTTAATCGATTTCTATTCCACGAAATTCTTTTAAGGGTGTGGATCAATAGAAGACCGACTCCCACACTCTCAAGATGTATAATTCAATATAGAATAAATATTAAAATCTATCTACTCGATTCAAATACGAAAATACAAAATAATTGCTTTATTTATACAGAAATTTGTTTAACAAAATAGCATTTTGTAGAGTTGATAGAATACGTATTTATTAATCATTGATATTTTGATGTGAACTTAAAAAATTCCAAATATCTGTTTCTTTATCTACATAATAACGATGACTTCTGTTATTCATAATGTCTATTTTTACAGGACATCCGGCATTTTCAAATAGGTTTTTTGCTTTTTCACAACTTGCTAAGTAGCTATCTCGAGTGCCGGTTAGTATATAAATTGGTACTGGTTTTTTAATCGTATTTGGATCAAGTAATTCTTCATTTTTATATCCTAGACCACCATAACCTCCACAATGATTACAAATTGCGCTAAAAACATGTCCACCATAATGAATAGCAACATTTGAACTGAATAGACCACCATTAGAATAACCAGTATAGTAAATACGAGATAAATCTAATTTTTGTGCATAACGTTCTTTCATATAATCAAGAATAAAATCAAGATAAATAAAATCATCATTAGGTTCTTGAATTTCCCAAGATAAATCATCACCAAATTGTACTGCACCATGTCGATTATATTTAGGTCCTTTTCGAAATTGTTTACCTTTACTCTGTCCAAAAACAACTAAAAAATTATTAATATTCGCTTTTTCAATCCATTTTGTTCGAACTAAAGCCATAAACCAAGCTGATGAATTTAAACCATGGAAAAATATTAACAAAGGTACTTTGCTAGATAATTCATGTATTTGATCCGATTCATATACGAGAAAATGACGGTTTAATAATATTGATACAGAAACTTCATATATCAAACCATGTTCATTTCTGTACTGTTTTTCATTTTGTCCAATATTCCAAGCCCATTTTGCTCGTGCTAATAATTCATCTTCGTCGAATTCATCACCTGACAACTTATCACAAGTACGAATATCATTACTTGACGAGAAATTAACTGGTGTAAAATAATCAAGCCATTCTGCATGATCAGCCATTTAGCTATACGAATACAATTAAAATAATACAGTACACAAGAAACTTATAAAATATATAATGGAAAGTAATTACGCAAGTATTGAGAAATAATATTATTTATTTTTCGTATTTACTTACAATTTCATGTATGACATCATTTGACAGGAAATTTAAGTAATATTTATTATGTGAAAAATATTATGAGTTAGATTTGAGATAAAAGAAAAATATATTGTTATTGATCATATGAAGAATGTTTTTATTCATATATATTTAAAAAAAGCACGTTTTAAATCAGAATCACGTGCATTTTGTATTGACTCACATCTAGAAATAATAGTGAGAAAAAAATGTTTTTTTTATTGAATAGAATAACTCGCAAATGATTTCTTTACGGAGGTTATGTTGGATATATTAATAAAAAGGTAAATTAATTCGATTTAATTTATAGAAAATTTTGATCTTTTTAATAGAGAATGCAAATAACTATGATAGTAATTATATTTATACAATGAGAAATTTTTTTATGTTAAACATGTTTCTTCGTAGACAGAAATATTATCTATCAGAAGTTATTCAATTATAAATAAGTACGTAAAAATAGTTTGTTTATCTACGTGATATATTAAAAATTCTTATTCCGAAGAGTAAATCTTATTCGTATATAAAAATATGTGTTTTACCGTATTAACCAGAAGAATATATCTTGGTATCCGAAAAATTTCTTATGAATGGTAATATTCCTTCATAAATGTTTATGGTTGTCAACATCAATCATGATTATCGTCTACCGAGTGTCATTCTACTTTACTGTGTTCTGCACTTCTATTAGCAAATATACAGACGTGTACCTTTAGAGTGTGGGTGTTGTGTCCATGCTTTATCCATACCCACACCTTCTAGCTAAAATCAATACTCTTGTCAATAGGAATGCGACAGTTCCAGTTCGAAAGAACTTAACCTGAGCTTTTACAGTCCTACTTGCCAAACATCTCGCGAAACTTTCTTTATTAGTAGCTAGTAAAAAGTGAACTACATCACTTCTCTTCAAATCAAATGATTTCTCTTCTTTCTTGTACATGCTTCTTTGTTAATAATTCGTAAAAATGAAAACATTGTTAATCAAGCTTTGCACTCTTATCGTAATAAGCAATTTTTAGTTAATTTACATGAAATCTAATATCTATTTTTTTATCAACGGAGAAAATCAAATAAATTAGATTT